AAGATGCTCAATGTCACCAATCACCAGGGAAATGGAAATTGAAACTACAATGAGATACCACCTCACACCCATTAGGATGGCTACTTAAAAAAAAAAAACAGAAAATAATAAATGTTGGTGAGGATGTAGAGAAATTGGAACTCTCCCTGTTGATAGGATTGTAAAATGATGCAGCTGCTATAGAAACCAGTATGGAGCTTTGTCAAACAATTACAAGTAGAACTACTATCTGAATCAGCAATACAATTTCTGGATATATACCCAAAATAATTGAAAGTGGAATATTTAAGAGGTATTTTCACACATATTCATAGCAGTGCTATTCGCAATAGCCAAGAGGTGGAAGCAGGCTGTGTCCATAAATGGATGAAAAGATAAACAAAATGTGATATATATACACAATGGAGTATTATTCAATCTTAAAAAGGAAGGAATCCTATCACGTTACAATATGGATGTATCTTGAGGACATTATGCTAAGTGAAATAAGCCAAGCACAAAAAGATAAAAGTGTATGATTCCACTTATATGAGGTATCTTAAGTAGTCAAATTCATAGAAACAGAAACGGGGCCTCAGGGTTGGAGGGTAAAGGGGAGTTGTATAGAGTTTCAGTCACACAAGAGGAAAAAATTCTGGAGATGTTTTACACAACGTGAGTATACTCCACATTACTGAACTGTACACTTAAAAATAGCTAGAATGGGTCCTAGCCAGTTTGGCTCAGCAGTTAGAATGTCAGCTGGCAGACCAAAGAGTCTCGGGTTCGATTCTGGTCAAGGGCAGGTACCTTGATTGTGGTTTGTGTTGTCCCACCCCCAAGTCGGGGTCAAGCTGGAGGCAACCAGTTGATGTGTCCCTTTCATGCTGATGTTTCTCTCTCTCCCTCTCCCTTTCCTACTCTAATGGGAAAAAAATAGCTAGAATGGTAAATTTTATGTTTTTTACCACAATAAAAAATTAAATTAAAAAAATCCCATCACCGCCCTGGCCTGTGTGGCTTCCCAGTTGACTGGGAATCGTCCCATGTACCAAAAGGTTGCCAGGTTGATTCCCAGTCAGGGCACATGCCTGCGTTGTGGGCTTGATCCCCCATAGGGGGCGTGCAGAAGGCAGCTGATCAATTTTCTCGCTCACATCGATGTTTCTCCCTCTCTCTCTCTAAAAAACAATGAAAATATTAAAATCCCATCACCATTTTTTGCAGGAACTGAATCAAAACTATGGGAGAGGATAAACAGAGAGCTCAATGGAAAAGAATCAAGAGTCCAGAAATAAACCTATGCATCTATGGTCAATTGATTGTCTACAAGAATGCCAAGATCATTCAATGAGGAAAGACCAGTCTCTTTAACAAATGATGCTGGGGAAAGTGGATATCTACATGTAACAGAAAAAAGTTGGAACCCTATCTCACATCACATATAGAAATCAACTCAAAATGGATCAAAGACCTAAATGTAAAAGCTAAACTATAAAACTCTTGAAATATAGGCCTTGGATTTGCCAACGGATTCTCAGATATAACTCCAAAAGCCAATTAACAACAAAAAAAGTTGAACTGCATCAAAATTAAAATTTATCAGCTATGACTGGTTTGGCTCAGCAGTTAGAGCATTGGCCTGAGGACCAGAGGGTCATGTGTTCAATTTCGGTCAAGGGCATGTACCTGCGTTTCAGGTTCGATCCCTGGCCCCGGTCAGGGTCGTATGGGAGGCAACCAATTGATGTGTCTATCTCATATCGATGGTTCTCTTTCCCTCCCTCCCTCCCACTCTCAAAAAAAAAAAAAAAAATCAATGAAAAAATAGCCTCTGGTGAGGATTAACAACAACAAAAATTAAAACTTGTCAAAGGCAACAAAAGCAAAAATAGACAAGTGGGACTACATCAAACTAAAAAGCTTCTGCACAGCAAAGGAAGCAATTAACAGACTGAAAGGCAATCTAAGGAAAAAAGTATCTGCAAACCCTATTGGTTGTAAGGGATTAATATTTTAAAATATAAGGAACTCCTTCAACTCTATAGCAAAACAACAACAAATAAGCCAACTTAAAAATGGGCAAAGGATTTGAATAGATGTTTATTCAAAAAAGACATACATTAAAAAAGACATACAACTGACTAGGTTCTGAGAACTTCCAGATTGGTAAACAAGAAGGCATCCACATACCCTGAGTTTTACTGGGTGAGAAGCACCTATGCTGAAGACCCTTCCAGACCTTACCCTATATCTCTCTTCATCTGGCCATTCATTTGTATCCTTTGTAATAAATCAGTAATCTAGCAAGTAAGCTATTTTCCTGAGTTCTGTGACCCATTCTAGTAAATGACTAAACCCAGTAAGAGGGTTGCGGGAACCTTTGATTTATGGTTGGTCAGAAGCACAGGTGACAACCTGAACTTCAGACTGGCAATGCAGGACTGAGCCCTTAGTTTGTGACATCTGACCCTCTCTCCAGATAAGACAGTGTCAGAATTGAGTTAAAACTGTAGGACCCTGGCCAGTTTGGCTCAGCGGTTAGAGTGTCGGCCTGCGGTCCATAGAGACCCGGGTTCGGTTCTCGCTAAGGGCACGTACCTCGGTTGCAGTTTGTCCCCAGCCCTGGTTGGGTCATGTGGGTGGCAGCCACTCGATGTGTCCCTTTCACGTTGATGTTTCTCTCTCTCTCTCTCTCTCTCCCTCCCACTCTATCTGAACAAAAAATGGAAAAATGTCCTCGGGTGAGGATAAAAAAATAAAAGAACATACTTTAAAAAAAACAACTGTAGGACACCTAGCTGGTCTCAGAGAACTGCTTGGTGTGGGGAAACCCCCACGTATTTGAAGTATACAGTATTCTGTAAGTAGTGAGTAAAAGAAAACAAGATTTTCTTGTCAGGTATCTAATACAGTCAAACATATAGAAGCAGAGAGTAAAACAGTGATATCAGGGGTTGGGAGCAGGGGGAAATGGGGATAAACTTTGTTTTGCAAGATGATTAAGTTCTAGAGATTTGCTGTACAACATTCTATTTATAGTTAACAATACTGTACTGTACACATAAAAATGTTAAGGGGTGCCTTGGCCAGTGTGCTAAGTGGTTAGAGCATTGGCCCATGCAGAGGGTCACAGGATTGATTCCTGGTCAAGGGCTTGTACATGGATTTTGGGTTCATTCCCTGGCCCTGGTCAGGGTGCCTGTAGGAGGCAAACAATCAATGTGTCTCTCTCACATCAATGTTTCTCTCTCTCTCTCCCCCTCCCTCTAAAAATCAGTGGAAAAATATCCTTGGGTGAAAATTAAAAAAAAAAATTTGTCCAGCTGGTGTGGCTCAGTGGTTGAGCATTGACTCACGCACCAAGAGGTCACCAGTTTGATTGCCAGTCAGGACACATGCCCAGGTTGCGGGCCCGATCCCCAGTGGGGGGCATGCAGGAGGCGGCCAATTGAAGTTCTCTCTCATCAATGTTTCTATCTCTCTCTCCCTCTCACTTCCTCTCTCTGAAATCAATAAAGGGAAAAAAAAGTTTTAAAACAAAAAATTTTATAAAGGGGTATATCTCATGTAAATGTTCTTAACACATACACACAGAAATTAAAATTTTTGTGAATGGCCTGGCCAGTATGGCTCAGTGGCTGGGCATTGACCCATGCACCAAGAGGTTGCCGGTTCGATTCCTGTTCAGGGCACATGCCCAGGTTGAGGGCCAAATCCCCAGGTGGGGGGGATGCAGGAGGCTACCAATTGATGTTCTCTCTCATCGGTTTCTGTCTCTCTCTACCTCTCCCTTCCTCTCTATCTAAAATCAAAAAAGAAAAACAAAAAACAAAACTTAAATATTCAACCCACAAAATGGAATATCTGCAAATCATGTATCTAATAATGGTCTCATATCCAAAATATATAAAGAACTCTTATAACTCAACAATAAAAAGGCAAACAATCCAATTAAAAAATGGACTAAAGACCTGAACAGATTTTTCTCCAAAGACATAAATGGCCAACGAGCACATGCAAAGATGTTAAACATTATTAATCAATAGGAAAATGCAAACCAAAACCACAAGGTTAACACTTCACTACCAGTAGGCTAATCAGAACAACAGAAAATAAGTATTGGTGAAGATGTGGAGAAATTGGAAACCTAGTGTGTTGCCGGTGGGAATGTAAAATGGCTCATCCACTGTGGAAAAGTTTCATGACTCCTCAAAGTTAAACAAAGAATTACCAAATACTCAGCAATTCAACTCCTTGGTACATACTAAAGAACTAAAAATACAAATTCGAACAAAAATCTGTACACAAATGTTCATAGCACTATTCACAACAGCCAAAAGGTGGAAATAACTCAGATATCCATCAGCTGATGAATGGATATAAAAATGTAGTATACTCATACAATGAAATATTATCAGCCGTAAAAAGGATTGAGGTACTGATGCATGCTATAAATTGGATGAACCTTGAAAACATTATGCTAAGCAAAAGAAGACAGACACAAAAGATCTCTTATTGCATAATTCCATTTATATGAAATGTCCAGAATAGGCAAATCCATCAAGACAAAAAGTAGATTAATGGTTACCTGTGGCTAGGAGGAAGGGGAAATGGGGAATCAGTGTTTCTTGTGCATGGGTTTCTTTTTGGGTGATGAAAATGTTTGGAACTAGAAAAGATGAAATGGTTGCACAACACTGTGAATGTACTAAATGCCACTAAATAGTGGCATTTTTACCTTAATATGATTAATTGTATGTTATGTGAATTTACCTCAATTAAAAACAAAACCCAAAAAAAGGCCCTGGCCATGTAGCTCAGTTGGTTAGAGCATCGTCCCAATACACCAAGGTTTCGGGTTCATTCCCCAGTCAGGGCACATACAAGAATCAACCAATGAATGCATAAATAAGTGAAACAACAAACCGATGGTTCTCGCTCTCCCTCCCATTTCTTCTAAAATTAAAAATTAAAAAATAAAATAAAAAGAAGTAGAAAAACCAGACACACAAGGTATAAGAAAAAGGTATATATTTACAAATCAAAAAGTCCCCGAACTCTAGCTGAAAGAGGTAGCAAATATAAGCAATTCCTATAAGAGCCCAACTTACTCCTTATACAAACAATGAATATCAACCCATGAGATCAGTTTCTACTCCATGGCCTCTTCCAACCCAAGAATTAATCCCTTCATAATCCACAGCCATCAATCCTCTTGCCAGTCATCCTGTGCCCAGGTAGGCATGGGTGAAAAGTACTCAAAGCCTGGTCCTTTATAGCGCAGGGCATGAAGAAACATCACAAGGTCCTGGGGCAAGGGGTCCTGTCGTACCAGTCGGCACTCTGCACAGAGGGGGTCTATCTCTTGATTCACAACATCTGTTTCAGCTGCATTCCTTGGTGCTAGGGCTGTTGCATCCAGATTCTGAGGGGCTGCCTCAAGTACTCCATCCATCTTTTGGGCGGATGCAGCCAAATCTTCTAGATGGTCCTTGGCCAGCTCCGAGGAGGGAGCTGTAGAGTCAGTGAGTCCTGGGGACAGGTCACCTTCACAGAGATCTAGCACATCCAGACTCTGCTTGGCTTGGTGCTCTGCTACAAGGTCCCGCAGCAATTCCTCATCTGTCTTTGGAATGTGGCCGCCCTGGCCCCGGGAGGGGCCCCAGGCCACTGAGTTGTAGATGGGGTCATTGAGGATGGGGTGGCCCAGGAACTGGAGGTGGACTCGGATCTGGTGGGTGCGACCTGTGAGTGGCCGACACCGCACCACACTGGAGTGGCCGTTGTAGCTCAATCTCTGGAACACTGTCTCACAAGGCTTGCCCCGAGTATCTACACGGCACACCCCTACCTTGTATGACACTACCAAGATAGGTTCCTTGCAGGTCACTTCCTTGGCAGGGAACTCGCCCTCCACCCGGCACACGTACTCCTTTTCCAGCTACACAGGAGGGAAGAGGGAGAAAATCAGCACAAAGTGTAAACTCATGAAGCCCAGACCCTCTGCAAGTGGTGAGGACTGCACCTGTGCCAGGTAGAAGAGGTAAAAACCCTAGCTCCATCATTTGCCAGTTTTGTGATTCTCAGCACATTACTTAGCTTCTTTAAATCCCATTAACTTGTCTAGAAAAAGTGAGATTAGAAAAGCACTTACCTCAAATGGCTGTTATAAGAATTCAGTAAGTTAGGTTCTAATGTACTTGGTACTTAGCCTGGTATACGGTAAGCACTCAATATATGTATCAGATCCAGAATTACAAGTCTCAAGACCACAATCATCACCATTTAACTCTTCTACCCAAGCCTCTTCCAATTTCATTCACAATCTTTCCACCAAGGCTCTTCCCACAATCTTAAAAACCCCATTCAACCCATCAGCACTTTAAAACTTCAAAAGAGCAAACTACCACGATAGGTAGTATATGCCATCTCTATAAATATCTTGAAAGATAAGCGATAATAACTTTTCTTTAGCACTTTAGGTGTTGACCTCTCTGAAAGTAGGAAACTTGACTAGACAAATATGAAGGCCCACTTTAGACAGAAGTCTGTGATGCCCTTTTGTCACACAGCATTTGTGAGCTTAGAAAGTGACCTGCATGAGACAAAAACCAGGCTCACCTGACGGTCTCGAACCTGCTCGTGTATTCTCTCCGAAACAGCTGCTGTCTTGGCAAACATGAGGACCCCCGAGGTAAGGCGGTCAAGCCGATGCAGTGGGTGTAGCTCCTTAAGTTGGTGCTCCTTACCCAGGATGAAGATGACTGTGTTATGTCGGAAGCGGCCACAGGGGTGGACAGGAATGGAAGAAGGCTTGTCTACAACCACCATGTCTTCATTCTCAGCCAGCAGGCGGATAGGTTCTGCTGTGACTGGTGGTTCATGCCTGTGCACTGTGTTCCGCAAGAAGTCATTGTCCTGCCAATGACATAGGCAATCGATCAGCACAGGGACCAGCAACCTGTGTCAGTTTCCTCTATTATTTATTAACACAGAAGAATGATCACAGTATATCCTTACACAGAAAATGTAGTATGCATAGTGCATACTTATTTTGTAAAAATGCAGACAGACACACAGGCAAATAGCAGGCACCAGAAAAGAACTAGAAGGATATACATAAAAATGTTAATGGTACTATCTCCAGGTGGTGGGATTATGGATGGTTTTTATTTTGCTTATTTGTATTTTCTCTACAATAATGTTACAGTTAAAAGATAAATTTTTTGCCTTAGCTGGTTTGGCTCAGCAGTTAGAGTGTCGGCCCGAGGACCGATGAGTCTCGGGTTCAATTCCTGCCAAGGGCATGACCTCGGTTGCGGTTTGTCCCTGGCCCTGGTGGGGGTCATGTGGGAGGCAACCAGTCAATGTGTCCCTCTCACATCAATGTTTATCTCTTTCTCCCTTTCTCTCCCTCCCACTCTATCTTAAGATAAATAGAAAAATATCCTCGGGTGAGGATTTAAAAAATAAATAAATAAATGAAAGGTAAATTTTTCTAAAACGGAGGGAAAAAACCCTCCACAAATCTTCACTTTTCGTGACCTTGAATAAATAGCACCAAGGTAGCTTCCCTTGACCTTTGACCCACCTGCTGCCCTTGAGGTGGGGCCGCAGGGCCTGGAAGACGGAGCTTGTGCTCCCAAGGCAGAGTGTTGGTCATGGCCAAGTACCTGGCCCAGATCATTGTGATGGGGGCACAGGTGGTGGGCAGGGCCTTTGCAGCTGTTTGCAGGAGTCTGCAGCCAGATGGGCAGCAACTGATGCCCGGGGATGTGCTGGACACCAGTTTGCAGCTGCCTCTAACGTGTCCGGCTAACCCTCAGCCTTCAGGAGGCTCAATGTCTCCAAGTTGAACCCCAAGGAAATCCAGAAGAACTATGAACACCTATTCAAGGTGAACGATAAATCTGTGGGCGGCTCCTACCTGCAGTCAAAGGTGGTCCAAGCCAAGGAGCCCTGGAGGAGGAGCTCCGAATCCAGGCCCAAGAGGACAAAGACAAAGAGCAGAGGCCCCAAACGTGACCACTTGGCTCTTCCCACCCACCCCACCCTCTACCTCTAATTTATAGTTTGGTAATAAATGTCTTTTCCGTAAAAAAAAAAAAGAAGAAGAAATAACACCAAGCTTTAAGTCCAGAGATCTGAGCTCTAGACCTGGATTTCCCACTGGTTCAGTGCAAGTCACTTAACTTTTCTAAGTCTCAGTTTCCTTATCTGTAAAATGTGAGGGCTAAACTAGACCTGTGCTTTTCAAAATTGGGATGGGAGAAGGACTTCAAGCCACCCACTTCTTAAATTCTGAAATCACTTTGTCTCTCCTCACAACCTGGTTAGCCAGGGATATCTGGTACCTCTTAACTGTGAAGGAATTTTAAAGGGTCAAAACACTGGGCAAGACAGCTATAGTCTTTATCCCTGATAGTTCACAATTCTATCATATCAGGCTCTATAATAAATAACTTAAGTGATTATAAGAACACAGGCTTTGGAGGCGACACTGTTCCCTTACCTCTGTGAGGTTTACCTTAATTTAGTTTCCTCACAGGTAAAATAAGGTGGCAATACCTACCCCACAAGGCTGTCGGTAAAAGTAAATGTTCAAATACTTAAAATGCTTAACTCTGTGCCCAGCACATAGCAAGGAGACATAAATTATAGCCTCTCCTATACTACCTGTACAGGGATCCACAATGCAAAACAGAAAGTGGTCAATGTCTTTGCCAGTGGCACAAGACTACATAAAAGGAGCCACGAGAATCCCAACTTTTATCCCTTGGAAACAAGAAAGTGTTTTTGAAGCACTGAGGATACTTGCGGAGATGGGGTAAGAGGAGGGAACTAAAAGACTGTTCCAAGTGAAAGCGAGAATTACCCCAATTTTACTCCAGTGCCTATGCCCTACTAGCTCACAAACAAACCAAAAAACAACCCTTGCCCCTCTCCTCGCCCCCTTCCGACTGGCCCCATCAGACCCCACCTTGAGCACAATGCTGAGGTCCCGCACCGGCTCCTCGTTGAGGTGCAGGCGCCCCGCTCGGACCGCGGCCTCGTAGTAGGTCAGTGGCTGGGCCCGGAACTCAGTGCTGAAGACGTGCAGCAAGCTGTGGCCCACCCACCGGCCTTTGCAGTAGGTTCGGAAGTCAAAGTAATAGGGCCGCACTTTGCGCAGACCGCCCTCGAAGTAGTAGCTGGTCTCTGCGAAGTGCTCATCGGCAAAGCTCACCCCTGACCGCCGCTTCTTCGGGGGCGGCACTACACGCTCCCCAGTCGCGCCCCGCCGCTTCTTCCGCTTGCCTGGTACCGGCGCCGCAGCCGGGGCCTGTTCCTCGCTCCCGGTGGCCTGCTTCCCGAACCCCGGGGCCAGCTCCACTCCCTGAGCAGACAGCTCCGGCCACACTGGGGGTCGCTCATCCCCCACGTCACCATCCGCGTCTCCGTTTTGCTGAGTCGGAGCCCTCAGCTCGCACGCTGCCTCCGTCCCAGTCGAGAGCGTTTCGGCCATCGAGCCTCTAAGCCCACCCCAAGTCCTGGCAGAGCTGAGGCACGTGAGGCTAAAACACTCCTCGAGAATCCGGAGCAGCCCGCGGCCGCCAAGCCACATAACCGGGCCGGCGCCACTCCTGGGTCGCGATCTGAATACGTCACTCAGTACTAGCCAATCAGTGAGCCCCAGCGCCGAGGCGGGGACTGCGAAGATGGGAGTGAGGGAATGAGTGGAATGACTTGAGTGGCGAGTTGAGAGTCTGAGAAAGACTCATTAAAAGCATTGACTTCTTATAGATATACTCAAAATTTCTTGGGTATGGAAAAGCACCTGAAAGGAACTTTATTTAACAAAACAGAGTGCTCAATTCTGAATATGCTAAGAATATTTAAGCACTGTACTGCATACTTTAAAAGAGTGAAACCCGCTCAGCCGGTGTGGCTCAGTAGTTGAGCATGACCCATGCACCAAGAGGTCTCTGGTTTGATTCCTGATCAGGGCACATGCCCAGGTTGTGGGCTTGATCCCCAGTGGGGGCATGCAAGAGGCAGCCAATAGATGTTCTCACCCATTGATGTTTCTATCTCTCTCTCCCTCTCCCTTCTTTTCTTTCTCTCTCTCTCATATCAATAAAGGAAAAAATAAAAAAGAATCAAACCCTTCCTAGCTTCCTTTGCATCTTGGACATTGGTATTTAACCTGGCCTCTATTGATCAGCCAGATCCTTTGGTAGAGAGATACATAGCTGAGAAAGCAAGCATCATGTCTGATCCTATAGTATTGGAATCTGATTTGGGGGCTAACAGTGGGAGAGGTTCTCGTGTCCAGTTCCCAGTCAGCAATGCCAGTTGCAGTGTTTATGGTTAGTGGCAGTGTGGTGTTCCCTGAGCAGTTCCTCAGTAAGTTTAGGAGATTTCCTGGCTCTATAGACCCGGAGCCTCATTCTCTGGCCCATCCATGTTTTACTCTCACGTGGATGTTTCTCTCTCTCTCCCCTTCCCTCTCTCTAAAAAAAAAAAAAAATCAATTAAAAATATTTAAATGATGCACACATTGCCAGTTATAAAAACAGTCACAGGGATGTGAGATTTTCTAAACTACTTAATATCTTTTAATCCTGTGCTGTACAACAGAGTAGCCATTAGCTACATGTGGCTATTTAAATTTAAACTAATTAAATGACATAAAACTTACAATTTAGTTCTTCAATTGTACAAGTTGCATTTCAAGAGCTCAATAGCCACATAAAGCCAGTGACTATATTGGACAGCTCAGATACAGAATATTTTTATCACAGAAAGCTCTATTGGACAAAGCAGCTTAAATCAAATCCTTTTACAGCTCAAACTGTCTAGAATGAGTTCTATTAGTTGAACTAAGAACTCTATGATAAGGATTTAAGTATTTTAAGAGTAATGGAACATCATCAAAGAGTGTGTGTGACATAATCGGATCTCCATTCCAAAAGGATCACCCTCGTTACAACATAAAGAAGGGAGTAAAGAAGGAATCACAAGTTCTAGCTCCACTTCACTGTGGTTCTTGACCATGAGAGTTCTAATTCAAACATTCACACACCAAACAAATTTTGAACATTTGCCAGGCATCACTTGGCTTTGGAGGTACAGAGGTAAGAAAGATATGCATGGTTCCTGATCTCAAAGAAGACATAAGCTGGTCTGGGATACAAATAAAAAATATATGTGTGCTAACTGCACTGCTGTTAAATTAGAGTCTAATATATTTTGGGGGCTTTTAAAATAATTTTAAAATTACAGTTGACATACAATATTATATTAGTTTCAGGTATATGACATAGTGGTTAGACATTCATGTAACTTACAAAATGATTGCCCTGATAAATCTAGAACTCATCTGATACCATATATAATTATTACAATATTATTCACTATATCTCCCTATGCTGTACTTGACATGACTGTTTTTATAACTGGCAATGTGTGCATCATTTAAATATTTTAATTGATTTTTTTTTAGAGAGGGAGAGAGAGAAATATCCATGTGAGAGTAAAACATGGATCAGTTGCCTCCTGTATACCCCCTACTGAGGATCAGCCTGCAACCTGGTCATGTGCTCTGTCGGGGGAAATTGAACCAAACCAGACAACACCCAACCAACTGAGTCACAGCAGCTAGGGAAATTTGCACATCTTAATCCTTCCCTCTTTTCACCCATCCCCCTAAACTCCTCCCCATCTGTCAATTATCAAATGTTCTTTGTCTCTATAAGTTAGTTTCTGCTTATCTTGTTTTTTAGTTTCCACATATAAGTGAAATCAATGGTATTGGTCTTCCTCTGACTTATTTCATTTAGCATACTGCCCTCTAGGTCCATTCATGTTTTTGCAAATGGTAAGATTTCATTCTGTTTTGTTTTTTGTTTTTTTGTTTTTTGGTACGTGCCCCTAGCAGGAACTGAACCCGGGACTCTCTGGTCCACAGGCTAATGCTCCAACCGCTGAGCCAAACTGGCCAGGGCAGATTTCATTCTGTTTTATGGCTGTATACTATTCCATTGTATTTATATACCACATCTTCTTTATCCATTCATCTAGTGATAAATACTTACGTTACCTCCATATCTTAGCTATTGTAAATAATGCAGCAATGAACATAGGAGTGCATGTGTCTTTTCAAATTAGTGTTTTGGGTTTCTTGGGATAAATACCCAGAAATGGAATTGAGAGTCATAAGGTATTTCTATTTTTATTTTTTTGAGGAACCTCCATGCTGTTTTCCCATTTAAATGCTAGCAACAGTGCAAGAGGGTTTCCTTTTCTCTACATCCTTGCCAACATTTTTTTTTGTTGATTTATTGATTATAGCCATTCTGAAAAATGTGAAGTGATAGCTCATTGTGGTTTTAATTTACATTTTCCTGATTATTAGTGATGTTGCTTATCTTTTCATGTGTCTATTGACCATTTATATGCCCTCTTTAGAGAAATGTCTATTCAGGTCCTAAGCATAGTCCCAAATGGAGGAATGCTAACTGCCTTCACATGGTTTCCCAGTGTGAGAAGTCATTGGAAAGAAGAAGATCACCATGGTTTCAGGTGTGCAAGTCCAGGATCTGGTTTGGATTTATTCATCACACACACTAATTACTCAGAGGACATGGGTGAATCACTGAGGGTGCCAATTTGCAATTTACAACTGTAACTTTACATTATAAAATGTATTCCATTTGTGCCTACTGTTAAAGGCATCCTTATCAAGATATTTAAGAGGCCAAATTTGAAATCAAGAGTTCAGTGAGCAGGAAATCAAGAGTTTAGTGAGCAGGAAATCAGAGAAAAGGGCATAAGTGAGTTGAGAGACCATAGAGCAGTTTGATGAAGCACCCATAAGCCTATGAGACTGCCCCTTTCTATGAATCAGATGCTGCCAGATTCATGTTACATTGGGTGGTAGTTGCTGGACTCTTAAGGGTCTGTCAGTAGGAGATTGCACGCTTCTGGTTATTCCCTGTAAATAAGCACTGTCAAAATCTTGCCTATTATTTGCTTTTTTGTAACCTCCTTGCTTTTCAATTTCTTCTGTTTGCATATTCTAAGAATGGTTATATATGTGAGCAACAGAGTACCTCGTAGTTTTCTTTTCACATGTTGGCAGTTATTAATACCATAACCATATTAATTGGCTTTGGACCTACCTATCTAGAAACTACATCATACGACAAGTTACTGATGATGGTTGGCTAATGTCTTTCTGCACTTTTTTTTAGGAGTAAGCCCTGGAAATTGGGGTTGTAGGTGTGAGAAACAGTTGCATCTCAGCTAAAAGATGGCAAAGGTCATCTTTATTATTATTATTATTGATTTTTAGAGAGAGAGGAAGGGAGAGGGAGAGAGAGAAACATCGATGTGAGAGCAAAACATCTATTGGCTGCCCTCTCCATGTCCCCCACCAGGGATCAAGTCTGAAACCCTGGGCATGTGCCCTGACCAGGAAGATGCATGGGATGATGCCCAACCAACTGGGCCACACTGGCCAAGGCAAAGATCATCTTTTTATTGATTTTTTTTTTTTTAGGGAGAGAGAGATATAAACATTGATGTGATAGAGAAACATCTATCAGCTGCTGGTCGCCCCCACTGGAGATCCAGCCTGTAATCTAGGTATGTGCCCTGACAGGGAATCCAACCAGGGCCTCTCAATCCATTGGAGGACTCTCAATCCACTGAGCTACAACGGCGGAACAGGTCATCTCCTTTTTAAAAAGTGTGTCAGACACACACCTCCCAAAACCACCCTCCTCTTCAACTACTCTGGCCACACTCTATAACTATTTGCTGTTATTTGTAAAGTTGTCTGCCCCGTGGCGCACCCTCTTACACTAAGCTGTAAAGACCTCCGGGACCCATACCAAGTCTATCTGTCTTGAATTCCCGCTTAACACAATGCCTAGAACCCAGCAATAGTTTGGCGTCTTAGTCACTAAATGAATGAAGGAAAGCTTCATAACTTAAATGGGACATGGGTCTCCTGTAAGAGAAGTCTCCGCCTTCCCCCTCCTAGCGGTAGAAGTGCTCTAACTTGGTTTGCGAAGTTGCTGTAGGGCTGAAATTTTCGGAGCCAGTGGCCCAGAGAATTGCTAACGAGGTGAACGCGCTCAGAAAACCAAGCAAAGTTAAAGGCCTTGAAAACCGAACTTCCTCATCCGAGCTGGGGATGGGTGGGGGCACTGTCCGAGTGGCGGGAACACACAGAAATAAATGGAATCAATCTAGCTCCAGGGAAAAGCAGGAGCCGGGATAACTTGACTCCACCGTTTCCCGGAAACAACAGGCCCGCCCACCGCCTCCTTGCACTCACCTCCTCACTTCCTTATCCACCCGACCTATGGACGCACAGAACATCACCAGGTCGGCCTGTGGTTGGAGGACTTCCAGGATCCGTCACTCGGAGACTCCACCCACCCATTTCTTCCCGGCTGCCAGAAACCAAGAGCTGAGCGGAGGGTTTGCGGGCTGCTGGGCAGGCTGTTGCGGTAGGTGAGGAGGGGGCGGGGGGACCCAGCATTCTGTGTTGGCGGTTCCAGCCCTATCCCGGAATACCACAGAGAGGCCTCGGAGCCTGACTCATCCCTCCCAGCCAGTCGTTGAGGCCAGAGTGACTGAGGCCCGGGGTCTGGACACCAAAGTGCCCTGCGCTGTTCTGGACTTCCTAGGAGGGAAGGGGGACCGGGGCTCCGGTGTGAGCAAATTTTTGATTTGGGTGCATTTAAACGATTTTGGGATGAGGGTGGGGGTTCACTGTGGCTCCCGGCATCAGTTCATTTAGGGCCACCGTGACATATCTGTCCCTTTTACTTCCGAGCCCTTGCGCTGGTTGGGCTCTCCTGGAACTATTCAGACCTTTATGCATGCACCTTCCTAATCTCAAAGGCCCATCCCATAAGACTAGATGGTCATGAAAGCCCCAGGCGCTGTGTGTAGCCCTTACCACCTACCTATGCTTGGGCTACTTTAAGGATGTTCCCAATCCGGCAGAATGGTATTGGGTAAAAACATGGATTTTGGAGCGTCACAGGTCTATTTTCCAATCAAGGATTCACCCTATATCAGTAATGTGCCATTGACAAGTTACCCTTCTGATTTTTCATCTGCAAAATGATGAAAATGTCTATATTTTTCAGTGTTTCTGACTATTAAAAAAAAGAACACAAGGCATACAGATCAACTTCTCCATATAATGAGCAAATGGGCCTTTGCATATGACAGTGCTCTCTGAGAGACACTTTTCACCAAGCAGCACTTTTATTATCCTTGTGTATATGGAACTGTGCAAGACCTTTAGTCTGTGCCCTATTGAAAACAGAATTTAATTGGCTGAGGACAGAGTAGTTGAATTTGGAAAAGTTTTAGAGAAAAGTTCTGGATGATTGTCTTCACTAGACATGTCCACGCACGTGTGTGTATGTTTTAAAACATACAAATGTAAAATTTACCATTTTAATCATTTTTATTTTTATTTTTTAAAATATGTTTTTGTTGATTTTTTAGAGAGCGAGGAAGGGAGAGAGAGACAGAAACATCCATGTGAGAGACAAACATCAACTGGCTGCCTCCTGCACACCCCCACTGGGGATTGAGCCTGAAACCAGGGCATGTGCCCTAACCAGGAATCAAACTGGAACCTCTCAGTCCATGGGATGATGCTCAATCCATTGAGCCACACTGGCCCGGCAGTTTTAGCCATTTTTAGATGTATAGTTCAGTGGCATTCACATTGTTGTGCAAACATCACTACCATCCAGCTCTAGAACTTCCCAAACTGAAAAACTCTGTACCTATTAAACAATAACTCCCATTCCCCAATCCCCAAAACCCCTGGCAACCACTGTCCAATTTTCTGTCTCTATGAATTTAACTTACTAGGCACCTCATATAAGTGGAATCATTCAATATTTATTCTTTTGTATCTGGCTTGTAGAAATTCCATATGTATATATGGAATTAAAGATACTATTGATTTTTGGAGTAAGAGCAAGGGAGAGAGAGAAACAACCCCCACCAGGAATCAGTCCCGCAACTGTGCATGTGCCTCCACCAGGAATTGAACCAATAACCTTTTGATGTACGGAAAAATAGCCAAACAAGTGAGCCACACTGGCCAGGGTGAAATTACATTTTTAAAAACAAACTTCAGCCCTGGCCGGTTTGGCTCAGCGGTTGGAGCGTTGGCCTGCGGTCCAGAGAGACCTGGGTTTGGTTTCCACTGGGGGCATGTACCTCCGTTGCAGTTTGTCCCCGGCCCTGGTTGGGTCGTGCGGGTGGCGGCCACTTGATGTGTCCCTTTCGCGGCGATATTTCTCTCTCTCTCCTTCCTGCTCTATCTGAACAAAAAAATGGAAAAGTGTCCTTGGGTGAGGATAAAAAAAAATACAAAAACAAACTTCATGCCCGGCTGGTGTGACTCAGTGGTTGAGCCTCGACCCACGCACCAAATGGTCACTGGTTGGATTCCTGGTCAGGGCACATGCCCAGGTTGTGGGCCAAATCCCCAGTGGGGGGCATGTAGGAGGTGGCCAATCGATGTTCTCTCTCATCGATGTTTCTCTCTCTCTCTCCCTTCCTCTCTTTAAAAAATCAATAAAGAAAAAAACAAAACAACTTCATTATGAAAACAACTTGAGTGCAGACCCAGAAGAGGAACCAAATTACCTTTTTGTCATCGTTTTAAAAAATCTGTAACACAGAAACCTAATAGAAAACATTTTAAGGTTTGTTAAGAGAAATTTCTTAAGAGCCTATTACCTTCAATGGGTAAACATATCTGGGTACTACATACTTATACTGTATCCTAAAGTCAGTCCTTGCTCACTTGAGCTTCTGTTTTTTCAGCTCAAATTCCAAATGAAAATGTTTGAGAGCATTGACTCTACAGCCACAAAATCGGGCCCGGATCTTTGGGCTGAAATCTGTTCCTGTCTGCCAAATCCTGACCAAGAGGATGGTGCCAAAAATGCCTTCTCAGACTCCTTTATGGATTCTTACCCTGCCAGCACAGGCCAGAGGGAGGTCCCAGACTTTGCTACTCAGCCAGCTATAAAGCCTTGGGCTCCCTTGCAGGACTCAGAAGTATATTTAGCATCTCTAGGTAAGTTAGATGGCCTTTTATTTATTTTTTTAAATTATAAATTGATGGCTTTAAAGATGCCTGTTGAAGTTCTTTTACCTCAAACCTGGTTTTATGTTCTTAAATAATTTTTTTTTGTCTTCACCACATGTATCTGTCAGATGTAAGTTAAGTGGTGTTTCAGGTTGCTTGTGGGAAGGACCCTCTTTTCCTTGTACATCCCTTAAAACGGTCTTTGTTATCTCTTGCATCTGTTTTATCTAAATTCTGCTTTATTTCTTGGAATTCTTTAGACCCTCTTGCCTACTATTGGTGGCTCATATATTCAAATAATTCAAAAGTATCAAACCTTATGCTACCCTGAAGGAAAGGGTCATGGTCCAGAGCTACATGTGGATTTCTGAAGCTACAGTTTGAAAAACTGTTATATTAAATAGGTCGATTGTTGGAATGGGAGCATGTTGAAGTAAAATTCATTCTGCCTCTTATTAGCTATTTTATTTTTTAAATTTTTTGTTTTGTTTGTTAATCCTCACCTGAGGATTATAATTTCTAGAGAGAATGGAAGGGAGGCGGGTGGGGGGAGAGAGAAAAAAATCCATGTGAGAGAGACACTACTATTGGTTGCCTCCTGCATGTGCCCTGACTGGGGGCCGAGAATCAAACCTGCTACCCAAGTAAGTGCCCTTGAGTGGGAATCAAACCCACAACCCTCCCGTGCATAGGCCAGTGCTCTAACCACTGTACCACACTAGCCAGGGCTATTTTCTTAATATTTCATGAACACATCTTCACTGTTCTGTCCTATGGCCTTAAGTGTAAGTATTTGGAGAGACTCAAAGCACAGGGAAGAGATTCAGAGTGTCCCATGCTAAGGAAAAGAGAAATACCAGTCTAGGGCAGTGACTGCCATGCTTTAAAATTGATATATTTTTGTTATTGAACATTCATGAGACCCATCTATGTGTGACAAAACCAAACCTGGGAATAATTATTTGAGGAAGGAAAGGCAATCAGGAAAAATCAGCTTCTGAGGAAGGACAGAAAGAAAAGTCAGAATAGCCCTGGCTGGTTTGGCTAGCGGTTAGATCGTTGGCCTGTGGTCCAGAGAGACCTGGGTTCGGTTCCTGCTAAGGGCACGTACCTCGGTTGCAGTTTGTCCCCGGCCCTGGTTGGGTCGTGCGGGTGGCAACCACTTGATGTGTCCCTTTCACGCTGATGTTTCTCTTTCTCTCTCTCTCCCTCCCACTCTATCTGAACAAAAAATGGAAAAATGTCCTCGGGTAAGGATTAAAAAAACAAAATAGTAAAGTCAGAATAGAGTTTATATGATTGCTAAGAAATATCTTGGAGAAACAAAAGGAATTTTGCTAATGGTGTACTGGAGGAAAAAAATACTAGAAAAACTTAGGTGGAATGATGGATAATGAGAAAGATGAGAGTGTAATGTGAGATTTTTCAGGAAGCCACCAGAGATAGGATAGTAATATTTGCAGCCATGGCTGAGGAGGTTGACAATTCTGTTTTATAATAGTCAGAACATCTGTTTAATGATGATAAGGAGAGGAAACAATGCTGAGAAAGCTGAAGAATCAGATCCTTTGGCTTGTTGGTTCTCTGTGCCCAAGGGTTATAAGAAACTTTCATGGGTCATAGACATGGTGGCCATTAGGGTGGGAAAGCAGACAACTCTGCCTGCAGGTCTGATGTTCTCATCTATAAGTGTACATGCAGCAAAGAGGAGGAATCCAAATAGCAGCTAGTGAAACCAGAGCAGTTTCCCTTATATACTGCACCACCTCTCTAGTCTAAATATGTTGAAGAACAGCCTGGTAATATATAAATGGGCTTTGCCTCCATCCACACTACAGCTGGTCCTTATACTGTCTGGTGCAAGGGTGTTTATGTCTTTGTGAAAAATGGCACAATGGATACAGTACAATTTTGGAAAGATGCATATGTTTATTTGAAGAATCCACCATGAGATTTTCTTCCAAAAAGGATTGGCAGGTTTGGTTTCATCAAGAAAAGGTTCTAGATTTAAGAAAATTGGTTCTCTCCTGGCCAGTGTGGCTCAGTGGTTGAGCGTGGACCCACTCACTAAGAGATTGCCAGTTCGATTCCTGGTCAGGGCACATGCCCAGGTTGTGGACCCCATCCCTGGTGGGGGGCATGCAGGAGGCAGCCAATCTATGTTCTCTCTCATCGATGTTTTTATCTCTCCCCCTCCCTTCCTCTCTCGCTGTAACTTCAATAAAAAAAAAATTTTTTTAAATTGGTTTTCTACTGGGACTGGCCACTTTAGGAACAACTGTTTGTTATCCAGTACAATCCAGATAGTGGCGAAAGTAACTAGGAAAAAGGCATGTGCTTCAAGCCAGCAAATTTATGAAGCAGTTAAATGTTTGTGGACAAAAAAGACAACAAAAAAGAGTCACCTCCTGAACCTAAAGAAAAAAAGCAAGGAAACTCTGCTGAAATAGAAATACCTGCAAAAACAACTCGCAACCTGAAACACTCAGTCACTTTGCCAACAGAACTCAGCTCTGAAACGAAGACCAAATTAGAATCCACCTCAGGTGCTACACAATTTGTGACTGACCCCAAGCTCACGGGTCACAGGCAGTCCCATCCAGAAGACGTAGATATATACAGCACTAGAAGCTGAAATAGTCTACGTAGAGAACTACAAGATGTGTAAAGTTCCAAATGATGGTGAAAAAGTCATGTAATGGGCAACTGGACACATAGAGTACAACTTAGAGCAAGTATATCCTTTACATCTTCTAATCTATAGTTTGACCCATCACATAAGTGATTAAAACACACAGAGCGAATACAATCCAAACAATATTAAATGATTGGTGAAGAGGCAGAGGTAGTAGTATGAGGATGCATTTGATGACTTTCAAGTTTGTTTATAAAGAAACAAAAAATAGAGTAAATATGTGAACACTTACGAGACTATAATCTGAAAAAACATGTATGTGTATATAAAATATTTGCACACATATATATTTGCTTTAGCTTTTCGTAATTAATGTCAGCTAAATTAGAATGGTATATGGAATGATGTGTTCCCTATCCCCTTACCCCCCTTTAAAAAAATTTCCCAGATCTAGAATAAAATATCCAAAAAAAAGAAAAAGAAACTTTCATGGATTCTGTGACAATTTTGATTGGTTCAGAAAGTTAAAACTCCCTTGATATTTTTTAAAATCAGTTAAGATGATTAAAATTTCCTTCTCTGAGGAAAATAAGAACCATTTCTGGCTCCCATGGCAGAGCCTGGGAGACAGTGGCAGGCAGGTTTGGAGAATGCAATGGCACCTGTTTCTCCGTGCACACTAAGATCACACCTGATCAGGGACTCAGCACACTCCGAGAGGGGAAGACCTTTTCCAGCTCAAGAGTACCTTCCACCCTGACAGCAAAAGCCAGACATTTAAAGATTGTTTTTAGTGCCAAATAAACTATATCAAAGAGAATTCACTAAGATGTACAATGAAAAACTTAGCCAGTTTAATGTGAGATATACATAATCCTTTTAATATCCTTAAGGAGAAAAAGTTCCTCAAATATTTATTTATCAGTTGCAGGTGTTTAACATGTGTGAGCTCTTGGTAACTTGCATCAACAAAAGGTATTTGTTGTTTTTATCGATGAGTGGTAGCTGATGTGGCTTGTTTAGAAATGAAAACAGGATTGTAAATCATAGTTTCTATTGGTTCTGGGCTTGATGTCCACTACCCCCAAAACTATTGCTTAACCATTTATTATAGTTGAAGGAAAGACTAAACTAAGACAGTACATGGTGATATCCTTTCTTATATTCTTCAAAGGGGATATCTGTTCAACAGTTACACTTAAAATGGAAATAAGAGTAATTTTTTTTTTTATCTTTACTCGAGGACATTTTTCCATTTTTTGTTCAGATAGAGTAGGAGGGAGAGAGGGGAAAAGAGAGAGAGAAACATCAATGTGAAAGGGACACATTGAGTGGCTGCCACTCTCACGACCAACCAGGGCCGGGGACAAACTGCAACCAAGGTACGCGCCCTTAGCGGGAACCGAACCCGGGTCTCTCTGGACTGACGCTTTAACTGCTGAGCCAAACTGGCCAAGGCCAAATAAGAATAATTAAACATCTTGCATTAGGAAGCCATATGGAACACTCTCAAAGGGATTACAAGATTTAAAAAAAATTATTATTTTTTAATCCTCACCCAAGGATATTTTTCTATTTATCTTCAGAGACAGTGGGAGAAAAGGAGAGAGAGAAACATTGATGTGAGAGAGACACATCGACTGGTTGCCTCGTGCATGACCCTGAACAGGGCCAACGATGAACTGCAACCAAGATACGTGCCCTTGACTAGAATCGAACCTGCGACTCTCTGATCCGTGGACCAACGCTCTAACTGCTGAACCAAACTGGCCAGAGCAAGATGTTTGTTTTTATTAGGTTCCAACATCCAGGCTACAAATTGAGCAACTTTTAAAAATGCTGGGAGGCCCGGCTGGTGTGGCTGAGTGGATTGAGCATTGTCCCATAGACTGAGAGGTCCTGGTTTGATTGCTGGTCGGGGCACATGCCTGGGTTGCAGGCTCGATCCCCAGTGGGGGGCATGCAGGAGGCAGTCGGTCAATGTTTTTCTCTCACATCGATATTTCTATCTCTCTTTCCCTTCTCTCTCTCTAAAAATGTCAATAAAAACTTTTTTTTTTAAAGTTGGGAGATTCCTTCTCTTTAATCAAGAATTTAATCACACACAGTAATCTTAAAAGTCTCTTACTGAGTTCTTATCAATTTTAGTGTCTAATGAACTATTGGATCTCTCATCATTTTCTCTGATTCTTTCTCATGAGGTTTGGCAACCACTGCATGTCACTGTAACAAAAAGAAAAACCATTTACTCCTCAGAGAGACTATTTTCAAGGAGTTGAAAAAAGATGATAGTATACACATGTCAAGCCAGGGAAAACATACATTCCTTAGAGAGATACCTGCTGGGCTTCTGTGATTTCAAAGAAAACATGCCATCAATTTATTTATGAGAACCAATGGTTTTTCCCTTTTCCAGAGTTAAACATTTCTGTGGTACAATGTAAAGTGAAAACCTTGTGCAAGAAAAAGAAAAATATATGTGCTCATCAGTGAGAGAATTTTTTAAGTTGACATTAGCTTTTTTGTTGTTGTTAATCCTTACCCAAGGATATTTTTCCATTGATTTTTATTTATTTATTAAAAATTTTTTTTCTTTATTGATTTTTTAGAGAGAGGAAGTGAGAGGGAGAGGGAGAGAGAGAGAAACATCAATGAGCAAGAACATCGACTGGCTGCCTCCTGCATGCCCCCCACCGGGGATCTGGCCCACAACCTGGGCATGTGTCCTGACCAGGAATCAAACCAGCAACCTCTTGGTGCATGGGCCAATGCTCAACCACTGAGCCACACTGGCTGGGTTTCCATTGATTTTTAGATAGAGTGGGTGGGAGGGGTGGGGGGAGAGAGAGAGAGAAATATCGATTGATTGCCACCCGCATGCAAAGATCGAACCTGCAACCCAGGTATGTGCCCTTGACAGGGACTCAGACCCTTGACACTTTGCTGAGCCAAACCAGCCAGGGCAGCATTTGCATTTTAAACTTAATTTCCTTTCATACTCACTTTCCTTGTTACACTCCATTTCTTCTCTCTTTAGAGAATAAACTGAGAAGAATCAAAGGTTTAAATCAGGAAGTGACTTCTAAAGACATGCTTCGAACCCTAGCCCAAGCCAAGAAGGAATGCTGGGATCGGTTCCTCCAGGAAAAGTTAGCCTCAGAGTTCTTTGTGGATGGACTTGATTCTGATGAGAGGTAATTGATTCCCAGTCCACTTCTAGGTGACAGTCTGTTTTACTGTGGGCATTTCTTTTTCTGTGAAGAATTCAGGGAGAGTGACATCCGTGTCCAGAAATTAGTCGATATCAATACCAGCTTTTCTAAACTAAAATCATCCTTTGTCAATTTGCTCTATTTGCTCTTAGTACAGCAGATTTTTTACAAAGAGTATTTTTGCCAAAAGGCAAATACTCCAGCTACACTTTTTAAAAAATCCTCACCCAAGGACATTTTCCCACTGATTTTTAGGTAGGAAGAGAGAGAGAGAAACATTGATGTATGGGAGACATCAATTGGTTGCCTCCCGCACAACCCCGATTGGGGCCGGGGATTGAACCTGCAACCCAGGCATGTGCCCTTGACTGGAAATCAAACCCAAGACCCTTCAGTCCGAGGGCTGATGCTCTCCCCTGAGCCAAACCAGTCAGAGCTATTGTCTTCATATTTAGGTACAAGTATATACAGCACTTGAGAAAGTAGTAATCAATCAGCAACTGGAAAGATCAATCTCCATCTTACCCCTGAAACTCCATTGCATGACAGAGTTTGTGTCAAATTTTTTTTTTTTTTTTTAATTTTTTTATCCTCACCCGAGGACATTTTTCCATTTTTTGTTCAGGTAGAATGGGAGGGAAAGAGAGGAACAGAGAGAGAGAGAGAAACATTGATGTGAAAGGAACACATCGAGTGGCTGCCACCCACACAACCGACCAGGGCCGGGGACAAACTGCAACCGAGGTACGCGCCCCTAGCAGGAACCGAACCCGGGTCTCTCAGGACCGCAGGCCGACGCTCTAACCGCTGAACCAAACTGGCCAGGGCAAGTTTGTGTCAAATTGTAGCCACACAAATTTGTGTAGACTAAAGCCTCTACTGAGTGAAGGCACTGTGCTTCATGTCATAGGGTTGGGGTGAGGTAGGGTGGAGGGGAGATGTAAGAAAGTTTAACACCCTTTTTCTTTGCCCTGAAACTAGTTGGAGAGAGATGACAAATGTATATAAAGATGTACCTAACAATATGAGGCAGCATAAGAGAAGGGCCAGATGAGAAGAAGAGATAGAACCTGCTTTGGGATTTGAGAGACCATTGAGCTCTGGTGTTTGCGCCAGGCAAGGAGACAGGATTTGAACAGTACCCGCAGGTGGGCCCAATGCAGAAAGTAGAGAGGGCATTCTGCCACAAAGCAGGGTAACGCTTGACACTGGGAAGATGGCTCTGTCAGTTACTGGTTGTGTATGTTCTTGGGTAAGTAAACTGTGTGTGCCTCATAAGGTTATTATGAGGGTTTAATGAGTTACTGTGTGTCAAGTGCTTAGAACAGTGCCTGGTACATGGTAAGTACTATGCAAGTGTTAGCTATTATTAATGTTATTCTTCTTACCAGAAATGTAAAGTTCAGTAACAAATTATTCAAAATAAAGATCAGTGAGGGGAGTAAAACCCTGAATTTTAACAAAAGGTCTTAGGGGAGTGTGACTTAGAACCTAAGTTTAAAACATATCATTAACATTGATTTTGAGAGTCCCATGGTGTCAGATGAAGATACTGCTGCTGAAATTGTGGACAATATGTGAATAAAATTTATAGTTACATATTACTTTTTAATTTGCAAAGTACCTTCCCTTACATTATCTTAAATACTGAATCAGCAGTCCCTGAGATCCTTCAGAAATTGGTGTGGCATCTAAGGTCAGGCCAGCTACCCTCTCGGGGTTCAGAAAATAATACAAATTTTGCTCTTGTTTTGTATCTAAAGGCTCAACCCAATTGAGTTTTAAACTGCTCCAAACACAAAATACTTGAAGATACACAGATGTCTGACTCACTAATAATTTGGTGAATATTTCCCTCCTCTCCAGTTCTAAGTAGAAAAGATAAAACTTTCTCCTGCCTAATTCTCAACTAGGAATTCTTTTTCTCTGAAATCAGATCAGCATCAAGTTAACATTTCTGTGTATTTATCAGTACCCAGAATAATGTGGCTTTCCCTTCTCTATAGAAATAATTCTACAAAAAGTGTGGTAAATGAAGATTTAATGCCTGTGTAGCTTCTAAGTGCCTTGGGCTGGGCTGCTGTTCCCCGGAGCCTACATCTGTGGGAACACTTCTATCATTGTTCAGAGCGAGCACCAGGAAACAGTAGATAAGTGTTTGTTTTCAAACTTTAAAGTTTATGTTTTAAACAGCCATTTTGTAGGGAAATTATGTGGTTCTTCATCTCTGTGATGAAGGCCAGGTAGGTGACCCTCTTTTTTTTTTTTTTTATCCTCACCCGAGGACATTTTTCCATATTTTGTTCATATAGAGTGGGAGGGAGAGAGAGAGAAACATCGACATGAAAGGGACACATCAAGTGGTTGCCACCCGCATGACCCAACCAGGGCTGGGGACAAACTGCAACCGAGGTACATGCCCTTAGCAGGAACCGAACCCAGGTCTCTCTGGACCACAGGCCAACGCTCCAGCCGCTGAGCCAAACCAGCCGGGGTACTAACAGTGTTCTTAAATCTACTGGTTATGGCTTTATTGCTTGGCTTAAAGACTTTGTGCTCTTGAAGAGCATAGAATGAGATTAACATTATTTCTGGTCATTTATCTTTTACTGTGAATGTCTAATGGCTTTAGAATGAGGATCCTGTGTACTTAAGGAACATAGTAGGGGAACACTTCTCCCCTCCCCACAGATTCAAACAAAAAGGGGCCTTCTGGTATAGTGGCCATTCCTTTGTGGGGGACATTGCTGCTCAGATGTTTCCATCTTGGGGACTTGCTATAGGATGAACTAAAAAACAAAAGGCCCACAAACAAAATTGTGTTCAGTGCAACTAAACGTAATTGAATCTCATACTGCCTCAGGTATGAGATTTCAAGATGTTCAGGTTTCTGCCTCACTGATATTTATTTGAATATTTCCTCCCCTTGACAATTTCTCTCCTCTCCAGTTTTGAGGGGAAAAGAGACGGGACTGAGGCATAAGCTCTTCAAGCTTTTAGAGGCGCTGCATTTGAAGGAGGTCTGATGCTGTTTATTGCCAAAGTGCCCACCAGGGGGTAAATTATGCCTGGGGGCTGCCAGGATGCACAGCTGTCAGAGGAGTGTCAGTCTCCCCATGTTAGCAGTGAAAAACAATTGTAGGAAGAAATTTGTTGTGGGTGGGAAGGCAATATTTGAGTAACTGAGATAATCATTAAGTAATTAATCATCGAGGTCTGATGCAGTCCCCCTTTTCTCTTGCTCTTTCTTAGCACCTTGGAACATTTCAAGAGGTGGCTCCAGCCAGATAAAGTAGCCGTCAGTACAGAGGAGGTCCAATATCTGATTCCTCCAGAGTCACAGATTGAGAATCCAGTGGCTGGGGATGAGCCAGCGGCAGCGAAACAATAAATTACACACACACACTTGCGTGGAGCAGCTGTCTTGAGTCCAGAGGGAACAGTGGAGAGCTCGGCAGCAGCAGCAAGGAAAAACTTGGGAGGGAAAAAGCCCAACCTTCCACTCCACAAAGCAAACAGCTGCGGGTCCCTGTGGACTTGCTTGGGGCTGGCACGTGTGACTGTCTTGGATGAAGTGACTGACCCAGTGCATGCTGGATCAAAATACCACTTTCCTGTATGTCTCACAGCTTGCTTGAGCTCTGGTGCTGCAGGTGAGAAGTCTGCTGAGAATCTAGTGAAGGACCCAGGTGTAAATGTATGTGCAGAAGCTGATGCCCTTGTGTATAATGTATAAGTGAAGTGAGCCGTGTTTTCCCTTGCTTCTGGATTTTCCTGCCTGTATCCCAGGCATTCCCTTGGTAACTTGTCAGGGGTGAGCGGGGCCAAGGAAAGTAAAGTCTGCCTCCTTAAATCCAAGCCCCATTTGGGGCTTCTCTAACAAGTCCAAAATAAATATGAAGACTTTAGGAAAAGAGACTGGCTTTTCTTTGTCTGATTTGTTCCTTGTGGGGAAAATGGAAGAAAGAAGTGTGAAAAGGTGGGTGTTTGTGTGTGTGTGTGTGTTTTAATTTCATGAATGGCTTCTCCCCTAACTTCCTCCTGCACTTATAAAGGGCTAAGTTCCAAATTATATTTGCAAATATGGTTTTGGTATTTGACACCATTGCTTGACTAGTTACCTGCTTGTTACTTGTAGCAGCTTTTTTTGGCTGAGTTTACTTTCCTCCTTGTTTACGGTGTTCTTGTTCAGTTGGTATTGTCCATATACAACTTTTCTCATCAGAATAGCTGTGTGTGTGGTGGAATTGACCTGATTCCTCCCAGAGAGATGCTCCCAGACAGTGGGGAGGTAAACACAAAATCACGCCAATGCAGGTGAGCTGGTAACTTTTGCTAGCGTCCTGATTTTAACACATGCCCTCTGACAAACCAAACCTCTGTGTTCTGAGGGTACATTTTGGAGACAATGGCTCTATGGAGCTTCTTCCTGGGTTATAGGTTCCTAGGCCCTAATGATGAGCAGGGTGGCCATAAAAATCTTCAGAGAACATTTGCTCATTTTATTTAGTTTATTTTATTGAATTTATTGGGGTGACAGTGGTTCACAAAACCATACAGGTTTCAACTGTACAACTCAACAAAATATCGTCTGCATACTGCATTTGGCCCATCACCCAAAGTAAAATCTTTCCATCCCTGTTTATCTCCCCTTTGGCCACCTCCACCCCCTCTTTCCCTCTGGCTATCACCACACTGTTGTGATATATATATTTGGCTTAATCCCTTCACCTTTTTTCCTTCAGCTCCTCAACCCTCCTTCCCTCTGACAGCTGTCAGTCTGTTCCATGTATCCATGCTTCTGTTTCTATTTTGTTCATCAGTTTATTTTGTTCATTAGATTACACATATAAGTAAGATAATATGGTATTTGTCTTTGACTGGCTTATTTTGCTTAGCATAATAATCTCCAGGACATCCATGGTGTTGTAAAAGGTAAGATTTCCTTCATTTTTATATTTTTTTGAGATAGAAACATTGATGTGAGAGAGAAACATCAGTTGGCTGCCTCCTGCACACCCCCTACTGGGAATCGAGCCTCCAACCGGTGCATGTGCCCTGACCGGGAATCCAGCTGGGACCTTTCAGTCCATGGATGATGCTCAGTCCCCTGAGCCACACTGGCTGGGCAGATTGAGTAGTATTCCATTATGTAAATGTACCACAGCTTTTTTATCCACTCATCTGTTGATGGAAACTTGGGCTGTTTCCGGATCTTGGCTATGGTAAATAATGCTGCAGCGAACATAGGGGTGCATTTATTCTTTCGAATGAGTGTTTTGGGTTTCTTCAGATATTCCCAGAAGTGAGACTGCTGGGTCAAAAGGCAGTTCCATTTTTAATTTCTTGAGGAAACTTCATACTCTTTTCCAAAGTGGCTGCACCAATCTGCATTCTCACCAATAATGTATGAGGGTTCCCTATCTCTACATCCTCAGACATCACTTGCTGTTTGCTGATTTATTAACAATAGCCATTCTGACAGGCCTGAGGTGATATCTCATTGTGGTTTTAATTTGCATCTCTTTGATGATTAGTAATGTTGAGCATTTTTTCATGTTTATTGGCCATCTTTATGTCCTCTTTGGAGAAGTGTCTATTCAGGCCCTTTGCCCCTTTTATTTTTTTATCCTCACCTGAGGACATTTTCTGCACCTATCTTCAGACAGAACGGGAGGGAGAGGGGGGAAGAGAGAAAGAGAAACATCGATGTGAGAGAGACACATGGAGTGGTTGCCACCCACACAACCTCAACTGGGGCCGGGGACAAACTGCAACCAAGGTACATGCCTCTAGCAGGAACCAAACCTGGGACTCTCCAGTCCGCAGGCCAATGCTCTAACCGCTGAGCCAGGGCTGCCCATTTTTTAATTGTGTTGTCTTCTTGATGTTGAGTTGTATAAGTTCTTTTTTTGGGTATAAGTTTTTTTCATATTTTGTAAATTAACACCTTATCAGAAGTATAATTGGCAGATATACTCCTCCATTCCATGGGTTGCCTTTTCATTTTGTTGATGTTTCTTTTGCCATACAAAAACTTTTTAGTTTGATGTACTCCCATTTATTTATTTTTTCCTTTGTTTTCCTTTCCTGAGAGAAATATTGACACAAATATTGCTACGAGAAATGTCTGAAATTTTACTGCCTATTGCTCATATCTAAATCAAGTATTTGCCTTGTTTGAAAGGATGATAATCACCCAGGTGATTCCATATCCTTGCTTAATTATATAAATACTTTTGTTGTAATTGCCAGATATATTTCCTCCTTTTTTTTTTTCATTGACCAATAGTGTTAGCTCTATTCTTACTGCTTTTTATTGGTAGGATACCTTTGACCTAGAGTGGGCCTCATGTTCCCCAGATACTTTGAGGAAGCCAGACACTGACAATCATCTGGTTCTGGACTGAGCTTGCAAGCTGCCATCTCTGCCTGGGGTTCAGACCTCCCTCTTCCTCTAGGGCCACTGGATGGCTTCAGCTGGATGGATAGGTAAAAAAAAACACAACAGACTAAGGTTAAAAAACTTTTTGTATTTTAAATTATTTTTTATTTTTCAATTACAGTTGACATACATTATTATATTAGTTTCAGGTGTACACCCCAGTGATTAAACATTACATAACTAATAAGTGATCATCCCAATAAATCTCACACCCATCTCACACCATACATAATTACTAGAATATTATTGACCATGTTCCCTATGCTGTACTTTACATCCCCATGATTATTCTGTAACAACCAATTTGTACTTCTTAACCCCTTCACCGTTTTCACCCAACTCCTCCATCCCCCTCCCGTCTGGCAACCATCAAAATGTTCTCTGTATGAGTCTGTTTCTGTACTGCTTGTTTGTTTGTTTTGATTTTTAGATTCAGTTGATATGTTTTTATTGCCATTTGTTTGTTTGTTTGTTTGTTTATTTATTTATTATCCTCACCAGAGGACACCTTTGCATTTATCTTTAGATAGAGTGGGAGGGAGAGGGGGGAAGGGAGAGAGAGAAACATGGATGTGAGAGAGACACATCGACTGGCTGCCACCCACACAACCCCAAGCGGGGAGGGGACAAACCACAACCAAGGCATGTGCCCCTAGCGGACACCGAACCCGGGACTCTCCTGTCCGCAAGCCAATGCTCTAACCGCTGAGCCAAACTGGCCAGGGCTATTGCCATTTGATTGTAGTTTTTATCTTGCTTTTTGTCTTTTTCTTCTTAAAGATGACCCTTTAACTTTTCATTTAATACCAGTTTGATGGTGACGAACTCCTTTAGCTTTTTCTTGTCTGGGAAGTTCTCTAAGTGTCCTTGAGTAATCTTGGTTGTAGATCCTTGCTTTTTATCACTTTGAATATTTCTTGTCAATCCCTTTTGGCCTGAAAAGTTTATGTTGAGAAATCAGCTGACAGTTTTATGAGAGCTCCCTTGTGCATAACTAACTGCTTTTCTCTTGCTGCTTTTAAGAGTCTCTCTGTCTTTAACCTTCGGTATTTTAACTATGATGTGTCTTGGTGTAGGCTTCTTTGGGTTCATCTCGTCTAGGACTCTTTGCGCTTCCTGGACTTGTATGTCTATTTTCTTCACTAAGTTAGGGAATTTTTCTGTCATTATTTTTTCAAATAGGTTTTTAATTTCTTGCTCTCTCTCTCTCCTGGCACCCCCGTGGTGCGAATGTTAGTATGCTTGAAATTGTCCCAGAGTTTCCTTACACTATCCTCATTTTTTTAAATTCTTTTTTCATTTTGCTGTTCTGATAGGGTTTTTTTGTTTTTTGTTTTTTTTTTGCTTTCTTATATTCCAAATGGCTGATTTGAGTCTCAGCTTCATATACTCTACTGTTGATTCGCTGTCAATTATTCTTCATTTCAGTTAGTGTAGTCTTCATTTCTGACTGGTCCTTTTTTATGCTGTTGAGGTTCTCACTAAGTTCACTGAGTATCTTTATAACCAGTGTTTAGAACTTTGAATCTAGTAGATTGCTTATCTCCATTCTGTTTGTTTGTTTCTTTCTTTCCTGGCGTTTCGTTCTTCATTTGGGACATGTTTCTTTGTCTCCTCATTTTGACAGCCTTCCTGTGTTTGTATTAGGTAGAGCTGCTATGTCTCCCAGGCTTGGTAGAGTGGCCTAATGCAGTAGGTGTTCTGTAGGGTCCAGTGGCACAGCTTCCCTCCCCATTACCCAAGCTGGGCACTCAAGGTGTACCCCCTATGTGGGCTGTGTACACCCTCCTCTTGCAGTTGAACCTTGATTGCTGTTCTCTTATCAATGGGAGGGATTTACCTCCAGGCCCATCAGCTGCAAGGACTGGCTGTGACCACTGACCACTGACCTCTGACCACCTGTGCAGGGATCCATCTCACAGAGCAGGACTTACTTCAAGGAGGCTCTGGTGCCTGCTGAGTCTACCCCTTGAGTTTGTCACTTGTGGAGGTGGTTTGGTGGTGTTTCAACGTGGTCTGAAGCTGTCCACTGCATGTGTTGGCTGTGGGGCCTCCCAGGAGGTGCAGGCCAAGGTCAGCAGCCACCTGTGCTCTGCCCAGGACCACCTGGCATAAGCTACAAAGCGATCTGCAGATGGCGACTACTTGTCCTGGGCTTGGTGGTGCTCAGGCAAGGCCAAGCTGTGAACCAAGGCTGGCTGCTGCTGGTGCTGGGACTGAGGCCACTCAGAGAGAGATACAGGGCACACCAAGGCCAGATGCTGCTGGTTTGAGAGATTTTAGGAAAATCTGAAGTATGAGCCAAGACAGACCATTCGTATGGAAAAGCCACTGGAAACAGCTTGGGTGGGCCTGAAACTTGAGTGGAGCATCACCAGGGAATCACCAAGGTGGGGCAAACAGTGTGAGCCAGGTTGATAGAGTCTCAGATATGGCACCTGCCT